AGGACGCACGAGGTATTCAGAATTGTTATGGTCTAAATCCTGGCCTCCGATTACGAATTTTTCAAAAAATAGGAATTCTTAGAGGATCAAGTTTGTCTAATATATACCCAGGTCAATCACGCTCGGCAGTAAACGGTCGTTCACTAACCAAATACGGCGAATAACGGTGACTGTTTACGTTAGCTATTTACGGCAGCAGTAAACGATGATTTACAGCATATTTCGGCAATCGTACACTGTGCCCGTAAAAGTTCATCGTAAACTAGTACCGTAACAATACGGTGACTGTATACTTTGGTCGAAAAACAATGTAAGGCATCGTATACATCAGCCGTTTGCGGCGGCTGTTTACAATAGTCGTACCTGATGCTTTACGACATGCTACGGCAATTGTAAAAATTGACCATAAAGTATCGCCATAAACAACTAGCGTGACAACACGACGACCGTATATGCTGGTATTATAAAATGTCGTAGAATAGAGTGTACGTGAGCAGTATACGGTAGTCCCTTACGGCGATCGTAAACGACATTTTAGGATGATTTACGGCCGATGTAAACGATTGCCACAAACAGCCACTGTATACAACTTGTGTAACAATACACCGACTGTATACGTTCATCGCATAATATAGCGACGCATCGTCTGTGTCTATTGTAATTCGTTCCATATAGAATCATTATTCGTTATTGTATTTTATCGCAAACGCTCGTTAATGTTAGCGAATTTCCATTATTGAATGTCAAAAACATCCTCGCAATGAATTATACTAGTAGACAGATAATAAAAGTTGCATTCCCACAAAGTCAAGAAAGTCTCAGACTTTTCTATCTGATATGAGCAATACTCTTAAAAAGGATGTGGGTGTGGGTGACGCTATACGTGTGGGTGTCGCTGTACGTGTGGGTGAGGGTGTGGATGTGGGTGTGGGTATGAGTGTGGGGAGTGGGTGTGGATGAGGGTGGGTGTGGCTGTAGATGTTTTTCCTCTTACACCCACAACCACCCACACCCATACTCACAGCCACACCCACACTGACACCTACACCGACACCCACACCCTACTATATAAAGGGCTGCACCACGAACAAGTCGTCATTTCAATCCAAATTTAGATATGACTAATAACTATGAACAATCGTTTTTTGAGTAGTATTATTTCATCAAAAAAGACTTCTTTTTAGTCTTTTTCAGTCTCACTCCCCACTATATAAAGGACTGCATCACGTGCTAGTCGTCATTTGAATTGAAATTCAGGTATGAGTAACCGGTATGAACAATGGATTTTTCAGGAGTATTGTTTGATCAAAAAAGAATGTGTTTTAGTGTTTATGAGTCTTACCCCATGCTATAGAAAGGGCTACACCGCGTGCTAGTTGTGATCTGAATTGAGATTGAGGTATGAGTAACACGTATGAACTATGTATGTTTCAGGAGTATTATGTGATTAAAAAAGAATCTGTTTTAGTTCCTATTAGCTTCGAGCCCTACTGTATAAAGGGCTGCACGAGGTAGTGGTCGTCATTCCGAATCAGATTGAGGTATTAGTAACAATTATGAACAATTGTTCTTTCAGGAGTATCATTTGATGGAAAAGGGGGTTTTGGAGTCTTTGTGCGTCCCACGCCGCTCTATATATAGAGGCGGACTTTGAGCTATCGGTTGTTGGAATATTGAAAAAACTATGAACAACAACGAGCAGGAGTCTATCCTGGTTAATGAAGTTGCTGCGAATACAGTTGCTTTGATCATGGTTCTGTATTGTGGGGAAGGAAAGTTGGTGCGAGTTTTTTGTAGAGATTTATAGATCTTTTCCACTACACCACCGATTTGAGAGGAAATTGCTGTGGTTAAAGATTGTGTTTTTAATGCAACACGTATTATAAGGGAACATTCGCCAATATACAAATTCGTTAGTGTAGAATCCTTTATTTGAATGAGATAATTATTTGTTTTCTTTTCACATCCCCAGTTACAGTTTCCAAGCTGACAGAAAGATCTGCGAGAAACTCTCTAGCTTGAAAACGACTAATTGTCTATGTTTTTTCGTGCTAAGGAATCTCAGAGTACAAGTGTTAACACGTCCCATACAGAATCTTTCTTTCCTGTTTCCAGTCGTCAGGGGGACCGTAAAAAAGTGTGCAAATCTCCTAGAATGCTCCCCATCGAATCTTTTTCAACCTTTTCACACTGTTACAGACAGCTCTCTTCCGGCGGAAACACTGTGAAAATACTCTGGATCGCGTCTCAAGAGCGACTTTTTTTTAGAGCTTTTGGGACTTGTATAAGCACCTTTTTGCGAGAACAAAAACTGTCACAACCTTGTAAAAATGTCTTTCTCTCGGCGAAAAGGACACAATTCAATCTTAATCGATCTTTGTTTTGAAACCTTTCGAAGGGCCTTTCCGAGCCCGCAAAAAACGCTCACTTCAGTCTTAATTTGGCTCTTTCTCTCTGCAAGGAAAAAGTCTCAATCAGTCTCGAAAAGTCTTTTTCTGTGTGCTCCGAAAAACTTCCGATACGTCTTTAGGAGTCTTTTTCTATGGCCCCAAAAAAGTCTCATTAAGTTCCGAAAAGTCTTTTTCTAATGTCTATAAAAAGTCTCAATAAGTCTCAAAGAGTCTTTCTCTATAGTCCCCACAAAGTCTCAATAAGTCTCGAAAAGTCTCATACGGTGGAGGTGCTCGCTTTGTGCTGGCACTGTTGGTGTTGTATACGTTTAACTCACTGTCCTGTACGGCCGTAGACGGTGGCGATACGGTCGTGTACGGCGACGGATACGGTCTTGTACGTCAGCGCCGGCGCTGTGGCAAGCTGTGAATACGATCGTATACTGTCGTCGTGTTACGCCGTATACGGTACGGCGAAATACGGTCGTAATACAGTCCCACGAAATACGGCGGATATACGGCCGTATTTGGGCGTAAATCCGCCGTATACGACGCCGTAAACGGCCGTTTCTCTTCACCGTAATGCTCGTTCTGGGTAGGATTTTCGATAAAAAATGACGAAAATATAGGATTTATTATACATTGTTTCTGCTTAAATTATCTGATTTTGTTAACTTCTTCACTTGATATCTTGCTAATGAAACAAGCAAGATCATGGGGCTCGCCGTCAGGATTTTTATCTGATTCATTTCTACTGAAATGAATAGTTAAATCAAATATCATTAGTAACTTTAATTAAAGTTTTAGAACCTTTTTCACTAATCAATGAATAATGAAAAAAAGGAGACCATAAACTTTGAAAGGATAAAACGAAAATAATCCAAATATTATTTGTCATGATTAAAAGATCGGGAACTTTTTCTTGACAATTCGGCCTAATTAGAAGCTGAAGTTACATCCATGTGAAACTTTTAGAAAACGTTCAACACAATGACAGCAATCATTCCTGAAATTTTCAGTTGAATTGGTTAAAATTTCTCTTGATTTCGCAACTTCTTGATTTCGGCATTTTCAGAAGAGCCAGGGACCAGAATATTAAGATAGTTTCTCAGTTAGTTAATATACCATTCGGTACAGAATTAAATTCTGAGTAAAATCGTATGAAAGTCACAAATGATAGATCAACATTTCTTTAATAAAAGACAGATCCTCATACAGGAGTCATATTTACTCTATTACGAAATCTCTTGGACCTTTTGTTCTCTTGAATTTGATTCAGGTCCAACGCCATTTTTCTAGGAACATCAGCAATTAATGAGTGCTACAATATTACAAACACAATAGGATGAAAAACTCTGTCCTCATCTCATCACCAAGAACACAGTCCACAAAATTTAGACAAAAATACTAAACCACAAAAATTGTCGCCCGGCCTCGCCTAATAAAGACTTAATTTTTTTCGTGCAAGAAAATAGAAAAGATCTAACTTAATTTGATTTGTTTTCAACTGAAAAAATTCTTTTTAAGTGACACTAATTGAATACAATATAAGTCTAATTTTTCAAATTCTAAAGATAAATTTTAATTGTTTTTCATGTTTCTTAATCAATTTTCGAAAAATAGTGTCAATTGGAAAGCTTATGCTAATGGAACATAAAAGATAAAAATCAGTTAAAACCAATCTTTAAAACTAAAAACCACTAGAGCATCAAGGGGGAACAAACTGATTTCCATATGAGAAATCACCCAGAAATCACAAGAAATCGTGAAAAATCATAGAAATCATTGGAAATCAGAAGAAATCACAGAAATCACAGAAATCATTGGAAATCATAAGAAATCATTGGAAGTCGTACGAGATCATTGGAAATCAAAAGAAATCAAGGACAACTATTATTACTATATAGGGATATTTTTCAGAGTTATTGAACATATAATCAAAAAGGAAAGAGCGTCATACTCTAATTCAATTTCTATAAACTTCGTGACGAAAAGGATAGTAAAAACAGAAGATTTGCAGAGTTGTATTCGTTCGAAGTATGCTTAAATTACTTCTGTTGATATCTATTTTCAACAAACAACTTGAAAAAAATAACAAATATTATGCGTTTTCACACATGAATAACACGTGACCAAACATCGTTCAATTACTATTCAACATAGACACCTCGATATTCAGTCTCTTTTGTATCATTTTGTATATGTTCTCTTCTTATATGGTTAGTTAACGAATAGACAATTTTTCTTCCTGTTCATTTTCATCTTCCTCATGTCCAACGAACATTGCCTTCTATTTATTACATTCGTTATACATTTGTATTGATTCATTGAATAGTATCCAACATATCTATTGGAAATCTTGTTGTTCCACATAATGTATTTGAATTGGAAGGAAATAATTTCTTTGAATTTGTGAAATTATTCACCGGTGAGAAACTGTCAAGTCTTGTTAAGTTCCAAGATATTAGTAATGCACAATGCCTTATTGCTTGCGATGATCCATTTGAAATTCTTTCGTTGGACTCAGATGATTTACTCGACTTGCAAAAAGAAACATGCATAAAATTAAAAACTAATGGTTTTGTAGTCTTACCTGGTCTAATATGTAAAATGAAGATTTTGAAAGGTATATTATTAAAAAAACGCAGTGAATTGAAAAAAAAATCAATTATCTCTGCAAATATTAATGGAACAACTGATACGTCATTAGATAATCCAGTTATTGGCAATGTTACTAATATAACACAACTGTCTGTTCAAGAGCCGATTAATATTTGGTCGCCAATTTCTAGTAATTATGCAACTGAAGATCAACTTAAACAACATTTAATTGACTTAATTGATGATTGGTGTATGCAATTGAAAGAAAACGAAAATCAATTTGCCTTTCGTCTACAACAAGATACCGATTACGAAATTATGATCGATCTTGTATCAAATAAGATGTTGATCAAATGTCAATGTAGTGTGAAAACGGTGTTAGGTCAAAAAAGCAACAGATATATCGTAAGTCATTTTTTAGAAATTTTTGTTTTCTGTATGAAAAAGATAGACGAATATATTTTCGACACAGGAATGAGAATACTAGTAAAATATCTGCGATGATATTCAACATTTTCTAGTCTACATTGATCATTCTATGTGTTAATATATCAACAATTTTTATGTTATTTTAGCTGTCGAATTTCATTCGTCATTTAACACAAAAAAAACCATGTGCTATGGTTCAACAAAAACTAATGAATATTAATCAGAATACAAGTGTCAATGATGTTTCTGATGATAATCATATTAGCGATTCTGTTGATGTGGAATTAACTATCATGTCAAATTCAGTTTCACCTGTTTCTCCATTACGTGGCAAAAGAAAACGAAATCGATCAGTCGAATTGTCATTATCAAAGAAAAAGAAGAGTATTTAAATGTGTTTTCTGAATTCGATTTTTATTTATTTACAGTTTTTATTACTCATTTATCTGTGTGACTTATTTTATATTATTTAATCATAATAAAATTTTTCTATATNAGAAGGAAGCATTCTTGAATATAGAATGTAAGATAACTTTGACTCAACTCATCCAGCTCTATATACTATGAATATTTCAAGTTTTTCTGATGCGTCATTCTTCATACACTTTAGAAAAGGAAGCGAGAGAGCTTAAGCGACTCAAATTTTGATCCTAGGTACATGGTCACAATAGATCAGAGCAGTCGAGTTTTAATCATCGATGGGAATGTTTTTCCAGATACACAATATTGAATGACTACTGAATGAAACGAAACTCAAGCAGAGTCATAAAAACATATTTTTAAGTTTTGATTATTTTTTGTATCGACCATTAGATTTTTAACATCTACTTGGATGCAAAAATAACATTGTCTTTCAGTGTCCGACATGGATCAATTTTTCGTGGCCCGACCCGACCTCAAGGTTGAAGATATTTTTTTGTCAAGAAAAACGAGTTTTTTTTACACAGGTTAACAATCTTTTCAGTGTATCTATATAACCTCTCTCAATATTCGAAAAAAAGAAACCATTATATCATCTGAAAATGCTGTTTCTCATATAAAAGATTCGAAATCGGTCTATTGCAAGTGACCCCATAATGCTGGGACCCAACCCGAGTCAGACACTGTTGTCTTTCGTCGACGACATTTCTCTAAACTTATTGTTTCTAAAACTGCTCTAAGTATCACTATGTCATAATTAATTGTTCTCTCTTGATAGTTACTTGGAATTGTATATGAAATTTTCACCGACTTACTTCTGATAATGGAAGCGAGTGTGGCTTTCCTTCTTGTACGGAGGTAACAGTGGTCAATGGAGTCATCAATGTAGATTCTTGTTTCACTGGATTCTCTTCACTAACATGAGAAAACATGATAGAAACCTTCAAGAAAAATACATATGTAAAATGAATGAAGTAGAAAACATTTAACCGGTTGCAAATCGCTATTATCGTCAATCGGTTTCTGAACACTGGAATGTATGCTATTCGATGCTGAACGAATTTTACGAGTAACACGAACATGCTGAACATGAATTTTTGCTGAGTGAGGTACTTTCTAAAGAAAACAGTGTTTTTGAAGAATAATATTAAATTATCCTACTTGATTTTTAAGTGATTGATGACGAGATACTTTTGTAACTTTTGGCATTTCTGGTAATCCACTCATTATAATATCTTTTCTCTTTTTGCGTCTGATATGCAGTGAAATGCTCTTTGTAACTCGACTCACTGATGCATGTGGTCGACTTGCCATGTCAGAGATAGTTCAGATTTTTTTACAAATAATCTACAAGAAAAGAAAAGCTTTGTATATCATTATTGTTTTCAGACGAAAATCGGTCATCCTTGTTCATCCCAAAGAACTATGTTCGAAGCTTTATTTTTGAAGTATATGTACAGCTCCTGAATATTATGTAAATGTGGCACCATTCGTATCGATACCAAGCTTCAATCGTTTTACCACATGTTTGAAAACTGTGTCTGATTTTTCTTTTAATACAATCTTTTAAGTCATTAGTATGGTGCAATATGCTTTTACATACATTTGTTATGATAGATCACGATAGAAAGATGTTCATATGAGTGTTAAACCTGAAGTTCATGGTAGTCCACAAATTAGACTGCTTCTTCGAATGTAGATTCCATTACTTTTTTCATTTAATCAGGCATGAACTTCTTTCGGAAAAATATGGACCATATATTTGCCTATCAATTCAGACCATTCGCTGTGATCCCAATCTTCAAAGCATAAAAACAAATTAATTCACAAAGAAAATAGGATACAACATTTTGTTCTTCCAGCATGAATATCAAATGTTTGATCATTCGAACGTTTCTTTTCTTGCCTTCATCATATAAGTGTTCGAGTCTAGTATATCATATACGACTTTCCTCGACGAGTATCAGGTATTATTCGACATGTTTGATATCTTAAGATGCTCACTTTTTGAGTATAATTTAGAACGCTATGGATTGCTTCTTTATCCAAAACATGTTTAGTTTCATGAGTGTTGCTTTTGCGTAATTCAGTTATGAACATTTATGGACACTTTAAATATTACGAACTTGAAAAATACTTGAGTTTTAATCTGCAATAAGTTGTAATATTCGTTGAAAACTAAAATAAAATTTTGAATAGTTCATTTTGAAAAACAAATAACATATCAATTGAAAACAAAAACAAATTTGAAGAAAAAGAATTGTTTCTATGTATTACTTCTGTAGGGATTATTAATTTTTTATGCATTCGATAAAACAATCTTTTTCTTTGAAGATTTTTTTTCAAACGAAAAAAAATGTAAAATTCATCATATTTATTATTTGCATTCATACATTATTGAAATGAGATTCAAGTGACGGCTATAGAATTAAGATTACTCAAAATAAAACATAGTATGCTCGTAAGAGTTAAAGGCTTCATGGAGAACTTAAAGTAAATGCTGCAGTAGCTTGCCTCATCTAATAAAAAAGTATCGAGCGACGTTCATGCATGGTTTTTGTTTGACAATAACAAAGCATGAAGAGGCTTCTTTCAGTTTATATTCAGATAATATGAAATAAAACAAAATTTGTAAAAAGTTTGTTATGAAACGAACCTTGGAATCAAAATGATTTTCTAAACCAATATGAAATTCTTGTTTCGATAATTTAGAGGGTATTTTCATAATTTTTGAAAAATGAGGAGCTCTCAATTTTGTTTTTGTATTACAGTCTTTAACAAAAAAGAAAATATTTAACAATATATTGTATGCTGATCTTCCGACATTGGAGCATCTTTTCGAGGTATTTTAGTTGAGAGAGTTGCTAAGAATTTTGATTTTTCGAGGAGGGTATCTTAAATTCAGATTCGCCCACGACACCATTCCAACAAAACTATTCAACGCTTTCACTGCTACTTAATGAGTTCTATCCAACAGTGAAAACTGCATCTCGATAGCATCCTCCCTTGTACAGTAAAGGTATAATTTTCATATACTTTTAATGACTGCCATAGCATGAAAATTTTCAACGGCCTCAATAGCTTTGAAAAACATGCAGTTTTTTTCCGTTTCATTATTAGAAATGTCATTTCTTTTATTTCGATCATCACTTCTCTGAGAAAAAAATTTCATTATAATGCTGTGAAATGCATCATTTTTTTGCGTGTTTTTACTCCATATATGTTCTATAAATATTAAAAGAAGATGATGTATTTTCTTGAGAAATATTATATTATTCATAATTCAAAAAACTGACTTTGATGAATGGTTTTCATGACATAGCTGATCGTGTCTCACTGAATAATAGAAGACAGAAACAAAAGGAATCAATAATATCAGGCATGATTTTCATTTCAGCATGTTCACCATGTTATGAGTTCTGATAGATGCTTTTTGTCAAGAGAGGTAAATATGTGTAGTCGGAATGATAGAACTTATTTCTAAAATAATGTACAGTATTTATTTTTGAATATCTTGCAAAAATACAAAACTTTGTTTTAATAATAAAATTTTCGCTTGCATTCAAATATTGTAACAAATTACGAGATAATGATTCCTTTGAAATCCATTACCCCTTCTAAGAAAGATCGAATTACTGTAAAAAGAACATAAGAGAGAGAAAATACCTTGTCATCATTAGCAAATACAATTAAATACATAGGCATCGACAACATTTTTCAGTCCTCATTGAACTAGAAACCAGCATTATTGTATCATCAAATGGTATTCGTGTTTCTCAATTATTATTTGAGCCATATTACATGTGTGTTAATGGATAAGGTTATTGTTGTGAAGGATTTGCTTTTGGATGATGCTCTATAATTTACTAAACCTAAAATTTGTGTACTACGTAGTGTTGACTGATTTCAAGCAAGTTATCGTTCAATTGAACTAATTATCAAACTCCACTGTTCCCATCTCTACTTCAACGACAAAATACGAGCTCATATAAAAGAGAACATAAATCTTTGTTATTTTCTGTAAATCAGAATCACCTAGAGATGTATAACAACATACATATATGTGATAAAGGAGAAGAAAAGAAAAGGAAGAAAATGAACACGAGAAAAATAGAAGAAATGAACATTTGCATGGATATGGATGCCATATCTTGATAGAGACATTTTAAAAAATGAAGTCGAACCTAACCAAACCAGAACTGATTTTCAAGAAGTGAGTCGAGCACAGTCAAAACTCAAATGCAAAAATAATTGATTGAACTATAATCGAGTTTGGAGAAGAGTTGTTCAGTCAGTAAAGATAAAACGAGCTCTGATTGATTGCTTGACATATTTAATTTAATTTCCATATGTCAGTCTTTTTTTTTCTTTTCATAACAATTACATTAGTTTTGTTTATCATGATAAATCATTTCTATGCGACATATTTCTTTTATTTTCTTCTCTTTTAAACTCCTTCGTCTTTTTTATTGTAATCAGTTCTTGTTTGTAGCGCTGTGAGGTGATTAGATGCCTTACTGGAATTTCCGACAAATTCATTTGAGTTTTCAGAAGCTCTTTTCACCTTATCTTGATGGAAGTATAGGAGGTGATAGATGTATATTTTAACGAGAAACCTACTCGATAGATCGAGTTTCTCGAACTTTCACCTGCTATCATTACTCGAATCTTTCTATTCGAATAATAAAAACAGCCCACGAAACCATGACTTTTGCTGCAATGCATATAATACCACAACAGAAACGACCACATGTGCAGAGTCTCCTTGCATCGATGAATCTCAGTGACGGGCTTCATATTCTCATCTTTATGGACTCTACAATCAACGCAATGCCCTCTGTACGTGTAATTGCGTGTGACCGTCTTTCACAGTACCCACATCGAGAGAGATGTTATGTAGCTTCTTTGTTGGCGCTCATATCGAGGAAGATGTAGTGTGGATCTTTTCGCGGCGCTCACTTCGAGAGAGGTG